TACAATTCAAACCCCAACTTGAAGTTTAAATAATAATAATAATAATAATAATAGAAAATTGTAAATTGATTCTTCCGGCGGCTCCGCCGTCGTAGGTAAACGGAAAGTCCCTCAAACTGTGTTTCTCCGATGTTTCTTTACCACAGCTGCCTTCAAGTTTATCTCTCTACTCTCCTCTTCTTATGTCCTTTTGTTATTACTATTTGGCTCCTGGGTTTAATTACATTAATTACTTTATTTAATATTATATTTCAGTTGAGACTCCGTTTACAATAGGAAATTTTTAAAATTTTGAAAAGGGATCAATTTTGACCTTAGCTTTTGACCTTAAATTTTTAATTCATTAAATTGCACTTTAAATTAAATTTGGATAAGTGGTAAAATTTCTATCTTAAATGTCTTCAGAGTATTACAGCTTTTACCTTTTGGTAAGTTTTTATTTAAATAATTGTTGAAAAAGAAAATTCTTTTAATGGATAGAATTAAAATTAAAAAATTACAATATTTGATTTTATGCAGCTGATTTTTATTAAATTAATAAATTTCTGATAGATTTAATAGATGATCAATTAGCAGGTAAAAATTGCACTTTTAATCTAATTTTATGATTCAATTGATAAAAGTTGGTAAAAATTATTATAACTACTCCAAGTCAAAGTTTATTTTTTTCCTTAAATTTAAATTAATTAGAGTTTTACAATGTGCTTTTTAAACTCCAAATCACAAGTAAGAGATATCCCATACAAATTAATTTTTCTAATACTCTAATCTCACGATCCACATCTTCTTTAAAACGAATAAACTTACATTTTAACATCAAATTGAGCCAATTTTATTCTGATGAATTCAAATATATGATCAACCTTTCGTTTTTGGATTCAAATTATAAGTAAGGTCTTACTTATGGTTTGAATGCTAAAAAGGAAAAATTAGAGTTCAAATAAATTATTTTGAGTTGATAATTTTGGTTGATTCATTTCTCTATCGAAATAGGTAGATTAAATTTTAAATTGAAATATCTTCCATTAAATGAATTTTATTGAAATTGATCTCATGGATATAAGTGGAGAATTTCATTATACTCTAAACACATATAAGAGTATATGCAACATATACATGTGTTCTCATATGAACAAGGTCGAAGTAAAAAAATTTCAAAGAAATGGACAAATTTTACTTTCTAACTTTTGTATTTATACGATTTTCCAATCTTGTGAGCGAGAGTGGAGAATAAGAAAGAAAACATTCAAATATTTAATATTATCTTTTTACCTAAAATGAGACAATTGCCAAGATATTCCCTCCTTCCTTTTTGGCTCGAAAACAATTTTCAAACCCCCACGAATACTTAAACTTAAACTAGGATAGATTTGTTTGAACGAAATCACTAATCCCGAATTTAAGTTTTTGCAGTCAATCTCCCAAATTATACCATTAGATAATTACGTTTCACATGAGCCATCTCAATCCCAATACTAAAGAATTGGCAAATTGTATTTATAAACCAAACAACCAACCAATCGCCCTTTTTAAAAATATTTTGTAACATATACAAAAAATAAAATCATATACATGCACGTCAACGGTCAGAAATCCCTGCCCCCTCTTCAACTTTATCCGCTGCCCTCCTCCAGCTCCTCATTACAAATATACCCACCTTGCCCTTCTCTCTCTATAAATTCCCCCCTCTCTCTATAACAAATTAACCACTTTTTTTTTTTCTTTTTCTTCTTGACATCAAATCAATAATTAGTCCCCTCCTCCGGCGCAACGCCGACCACCATGAGCCCAGCTAAATCCTGCGACATCAATGGCCCACGCCCATCTCCCTTGTTGATCCATAAACACTCTCGCTTGATTCGTAAGCCGCCGCCGCAGCTCCGGCAGCCGCTCATTATTTACACCCATTCCCCCAAAATCATCCACACCCAGCCCAAGGATTTCATGGCCCTCGTCCAGCGCCTCACCGGCTTCACCCCGCCGCCGCCGCCCCACGCCGACGACTCCGACAGAAATAACAACGTTAATTTTGATAACGATTCTTCCTCGGTTCTAACGGAGGAGGTTAATTGTGGGGACCACAACCACCACCCCTCCTACGTTAAGGAAGTCCAGAGTCAGAGTCAGAGCCATTCGTTTTTGGCCGACGTTCCGTTATTCACGCCGGCGGGTCTCCGATATGCGCCCGATGCGACGTCGTTTGCGTCCCCCGGCTTGCCTAATTCCTTGTCCCCCTCTTTCATGGAGTTTCTCAAAGGCTTGCCCGAATTTTAGGATCATCCGTCATCTTATTAAATTTGAATTTTTTTCCTTTTCCTGGGAATTTTTAATTTGTGTTAAAATCTTGTTCATAAACTTGGATTGATCCAATCCATTAGAGAAACAACTATAATTTGTGAATTAGTTATCATAATTATTCAATTCATTCTTTTCCCATCTAAACCCTTCCATAATTATGATCTTTTTTTTTTTTTTTTGGTAGTCAATTCTGTACAGCTTATTATTTTGAAGGGTTTATTTATTTTGTTTTTGACAATTTGATGCTGATGGACTCAGCCATTGTATTTATGAATATATTATGTTCAAGTGATGAGTTGTAAAAGTCAACCTGTGTAAATTATAAAATATCGCGACGTCATAGTATTAATTAGGAAGAGCATGCGGTTGACTGTGATTAATTAACTAGTTTTAATTTCATTTGAATGGAACAATATTTTTAATTAAGGTTGTAAATTTCAAGGGGTGGGTTAGTTCTTTACTTCTGGGCAGTTGGCACACGTTTTATTACTATGGACAAAAAATGCAAGTGACTAGTCTTATGACTTGAATTCTGCAGATGCTCATATACAACTAAAATTATCAATAATATACGTATTCAAAGAATTAAATTTATTGTAATTTTTTTTGGATGTTAAATAAAATTTAAGGCTTCAAAAATTTATTTTTGAGCCAGAAGTTTTATATTTACTTTGTTGTGGTGACTTTAAAATATTTTTTATTTTGATTATTGAAGTTTGGATAAAAATTTTATTTTATTGTTATTATTCTCATTCACTTTTTCATGAATCATGTAACACAATTAAATCTATTTTGGAACTCAACAAATCATTTTAAACACTTGTCGCATAGGTATGAATTGACATAGTATAAATCAATGACAATGATCATCAACGTCCACTGTTTTGAAAGTAAATTCGACGTGATGTTAGTGCTAAATTGTTCTATTACCGATTGCCCCAAAAAATTAACATAACATTAAGATCAAACATGCACTTACCGAAACGAATTGAAACAGATCAATATCAAAGCTCATAAATTTTGTAGGAAAAATAGAGAGAAGAAAAGTTTTCTTGGTGTGTTCTAAAATGAAATAAATAGGCGATTTTTATAGGAAGAAGAAAAAACATGTTTCTTTTTTAAAAACATATATGATAAATAGAGGAAACCGTTTTAATTAAGGTAAAATATTTTTCACGTAAGCGTGAGCTACTTGAACTCGCCTGCCCATCCAACCGAACCAATGACGGCAACATGTGAGAAAATATCTCGAGCTTACTCCAAACAACCTTTCTCAATAAAAACACTTTTCTCACTTGAAAAAAAATCATCCGATAGAAAAATGCATTCTTTTTGTTTTGGAAAATATATATCTCTTCTGACATTCCCAACACATAATTCATAAAAATTTAACATAAGGATTTTGTGATCTAAAATTTTAGAACAAAAACATTAAGAGTTTACAAAAGTATTTGAACCGTATGATCAAAATAATATAAAAATCAAATTGTTTTTAAAGCTTCCAAATCTTGTGTTTCTTAATCTCACTTGCCCCAAATTTCCATAATACAAGCTTCTATAAATTTTTATTTCCTTTAGGAAAAAAAATCTATAAAAGCGATTGCATGGCGGTGTTCGGCGCGACCGTACTAAAAGTTTAAAACATGCATCAAGCTATGACGTGGACTGCTTTGCTTATGCTTACGTCATGCACACGTTTTTCTTTTCTAGAATTTGTAGCTTCTGTATAATACAGTGAATTCATTTAAATTTTTTTAATTAAAAATATTATTTTATAATATAGTTAAATGCTTTGGAACTTTGGAGTGCTGTCTGTAACAAATTCAATTTTAAAATTTAAATGTTAGATAATTGAATTGTATACTTACCAATTAAAAAAATCAATTTCACTCTGCACAAGTGTAGTTCTAAGTGTTGAATAGTATTATATCATTAAATAAAAAGTTAGGGATTCGAATCCTCACCCTACACGTACAAAAATATTAGTTCAATTAATCAAAACATTACTTACTTTCTAAATATAAGAAATTCGGAAATTTTCAATCTTTATTGAATTGATAAAAATTTGATTAAAAAAATGGTTAAAAAAATTATAGTACTTAAATGGACAGGGACAAGGGGGAAAATTTTTTATCCTCCCATATCCCATAGTAGGGAGAACTCCCATACTAGTTTAATTTAAATTGCGTCATGTGTAAAGGAATATTATTATTATTTAAATAAAAATGTTTATAGTTTTTATGTGGGGTCCACGAGCAAAATTGATCAACAGGATTTCACCTTTTCTCTTAAATTAATCGTACATTATCTCTTATTAAATATTTTAGATGTGATTATTTATTTTTACTTTTCTAATTTATTCATCTCTTTAGTGTTATTTACATCTTCACTTACTTCTCTCATCTTTTTTTTTTTTTTTTTAAATTTCTCCATTCAAACTAAATTTCTTGTTTCTTTTTCTTAACGATTTCCACTCCACTTTTATGTATGAATTTTCTATTTATTTTTATTTTTCTTGTTATTTATTATTATTTTTTCTATAACATTCTAATCATTTTTATATATTTTTTCATTTTTTATTGAATTCATAAAAATATTTGGATGTATTTATCCTCACAAAAAAGTAAATCTTTGGGTATGTTATGTTTAATTCTTTACCATTTTTTTAAATTCATAATTTTTGTGAATTTTGATTATTTGATTATAAATACACTTTCTTTTTTGTCTTTCAGTACAAATATTGTTTGAATTTTAGGTTAATTGAATTTTTGTTTCAAATCAATGGCTAGTTTAGGTTATTTATACTTTTTCTCTTTGTAGAATACAAAAATTTATTTTTGATAAATTTACCCGTAATATAAAGTAGTTGTGCCAATACGTAATTTTGTGATACAAGATAAAGAGTAGGAACTCAAAATTAGACAAGATTACAAATTCAGAATCCAACCAAATTTCCCTACCATTTACTCTAGTTTGTGACTTGTGTGGTACGGCTTGGCGCCTTTCGGCCCAATATTGTTTGGTATATGTAAATCCATAGGGAAGCCCAAGTAGTAGATAATACAATAATGGGCCAAATTTTAAGGCCCATAATGGGCCGAACGTTAATCACTATTGCAGGAATGGCAATCTAAGAAGTGATTTCTATAAACGCATTATGCTATGTGTATATATCCTTTGACAACGGATTGAAGGTTGAAATTGCAATTTCTACATCTTGTTGAACTAAATAACAATAATAATAATTAACTTTTTAAGAACGAATTGAGCAGTTAAGTTCTATACTTAATTTTATTTACATTTCATTTTTTTTACAATAAATAGGGTGGAAGATTAACAAAGCGAGCAGCTCGCAGTAATTGGCATATACCTCTAACCATGAGATTGTGAGCTCAAATCCCCCTAATACTAAAAAAAAAAAGTAGAAGATTTCAACTCATGATTTTTTGGTAGAGATAGATGTCAATTACAACTAAGCTAACATTTGAACTCATGACTTTTTGTTGGCCTCTATATTTTATTTTGATATCAACTTTTAGATTTGGTTCATTTTACCTATTAAAATCTCAAAATGTTTATTAGAATCTCAACATTTTTTTTTAAATTTAACTACTTTAGAAAAAGCGGTTATTTTTATGTCAAAATTTTCCAAAAAAAAATTTAATATGATTTTAAATATATATATATTAAAGTGCATATGTGGCATGATGTCCAAAGCTAAAATAGATATTTTTAAACACGCATTATAGAGAAATGACCCAAATTTTAAGATGACTTTGAAAATTAGCTTTATTTGGATATGGATAGTATTTGAATTACTCTTTTTGGGGCAAGAGAAAAAAGAGAAGTTGATTTGGTAGTCATCATAGAACTCAACGAGTCATTTCGTGTCGTCTATTATCAAGCCACCACCAAATTCTAGACCTAAAAAAAAAAAGTGTCAATTTTTCGAAAGCAAAATAAAACTTCATTACCAATCCAAACACAAAGCTTTCATTTCCCACTACCCTTTTCTAGTTTTATGAATAATTAAAAAATAATAAGCCACCTAAGAAATTACACAATTCTTATCTTTCTCATTCGTGTGCATCTTCAATAATCAATGGAATAATTATTGTCTAATAAACGCAATTAAATAAATTATGTGGTTCAACCGCTTCCGCTTCTCATTATTTTATTTTCACCCCAATTGTTTGTATTTGTAAATTGTATCAAATAAATAGAAAAGCAAGATCTCGGACAAGAAATATATAATATATCGATTTATAGACATTATTCGCCTTAATTAAAATAAAATTACATTATTTACAATCTTGTCTTCGTCTTTTCTGTTTTTCTTTGTCCTCTTTTTTGGTGTTTTTTCTTTAAAATAAAAGGAAGGGTGATTCGGCCATCAATGATTAATGAATAATGGAGAACAGCTAATCCCTAACTAACACGAGTTACCGCCGAGTGGCGACAACTCACCCGCTGACTCGGTAGTCGGTATTTCTATTCCGCTGAAACCATAACCGCGTCGGCGTCCCACCAAGTCTCCACATCCGCCGCCGTCAAATTCTCCAGCGGCGTTTTCACGTTTCTCACGTCACCGACCGTTATCTTTCCGGCGTCGACGTCTCTAATATAAACCTTTTGGTCACCGGGAAATTTGACCCCGAGGACCGTCCCCGGCACGGGCATCCAATCCGCGATTAATGCTGGAATTTGACAACCCACGCGCGTGTCCCACAGATTTACCGACGTCTTACCGAAAAGATCCGCGGCCGCCGACCACAATACTGTCGACGTCGATGCCGGTGCTATCTGTGATTTTCCGGCCAAAATGGAGCCGATTTTTGGCTCTTCAATTACATCGTTAATCTCATTCGGGTCGACCCGACGGTGATCGAACTCGAATCTGAAATTATCCCACAACTTCACAACGCTCTTTCCTCCGGCGAAATCGGTCCAGGGGAGCTGGTCGCCGTCCCGGTCTTGGTTTTGGAAGCTCCGCCGGTACCGAAGTCCCGGAGTCCGTTTCGTTTCGAGATCATAATCGGAGCCTCTGACGCGCAAATCCCGGTCACTCGAGTCCCAATTCCGGGAACACGTGGCTACGGGCTCGTCGTCGTCTTCTTCGAACTCGGACCACGACGAGGAAACAGAGCTCGCAGAATCATCGCCGGAGATTTCACCGTCGGAGTCGGAATCATCAACAATCTCCTTCAGAATACGTTTCTGGCGCCGGAAAATCACGAGCAGAAGCTTAATCCGGTTGATTACGCCGCTAAAAGTAGCAAGAACGGCAATAATCACAGCGCTCCATTTCCAGAGATCCAAGGATTGAGAAAGGGTTTGAAATCCAGAAGGGGAACCCAAAATTTGGGGAATAAGAGTGGGGCTGGGCAAGGAACCGATCCCCGATTCCAACCCACTAAACCTGTTAATCACAGGAACCTCCATTATGTTTAACCTCAGTACTGCCAAGAACCCGAAGCAGCCACAGACTTAAAGGAGAAGAAGAATGAAGAGATGTAAAGAGAAATCCGGAATCCAAATTGGGAATATTCGGATATAGAGTAATAGAAAGGGATTTTGATTTTGGGGGAAGAATTGGGATTTGGTAGGGCGAGAGAGGGGATGAAATTGGAAGAGGGGTCGGGTTTATAAGGAGAAAAGAAGAGGCTGAAATGGAAGATAAAACCAAAGAAGGAGTGACGTGCAAGATAGAGATTGGCTCCGTGGTAGTCTGAATGGCATCCACGTCAGCAAAAAGAGCAGAGAAATGGGAAAAATATATCTGGTATTTATTTTTATTAATTAATTTTGGGGCGAGCAGCCGCAGGGAAGTTATAATGGGATCGGACGGGATCAAATTTATAATATTCGGTCACAAATTTTTGTGGACATCGTCCTTGTGATGTTGACACGTGGGGACAGATCATATTACGCAGTGATCCATCGGTTCTGCTAACGTCCAAGACGGGCCCCACCTTCTGAAATTGTATGATTGATTTTGTTGACGGTGGTGGTGGCCGGTACGGGGAGGCGCACCCGCTTCGGCCAGTCGATTATTTTTTTCTTTTTTGGTGGGGTTTTCTTTATTTAAATTTTCCTGATAAAATAATCAAAAATTTTATACCTACAACCTATTGTCACTATTTGTTTGATAAGCATTTCGTATTTCGTTTTTTATTTCAAATACCGTATTCGTTTAAAATTTTAGAAATACAAAAGTTTTTTTTTAACAATCATAGTTCTTTCTTTAAAAAATAAAAATAAAAAAGACAAAGTTGTTATCAATTGTGGCCTTGGAATCTTGATTTTGAATTTCTAAAAATAGGTAGGATGAAAATATCTATTTCAGAAAGTGAAATGCCATTAAATAATTGAAAGAGAAAGTTTTAATTCTTGAGAATTTAGGTACAACTTGAAAATGTTTTGAAAGATATCTTCTTGTGTATTTTTTTTTTTTTTTTTGTAACAGTTGGTTTTGGTAATTTTACTTCGACCTATTTTTAGAATGTCACTAGAAAAGGCATTGAACCCAGTTTGAGAGACGATTGATTTACAATCGAGTTTTTTTTTTCTTTTATTTTTTTTTTTGATTTAGAATATGATATGAGTTCTTAAACTATTGAGAAGAGACAAAAACTTTCTCAAAATTGAGCTTATTCATAAATAAATAAATAAATAAATTTTGAATCTCAATACTAGAGTGATATAAATATGTCAATTTCTTATTTGAAAAGGCTGATTTGACTACTCATACATTAACGAAACCATAAGAATTTGCATATATTAGAGTTGATTAACAAGTTTTTGTAAATGGTGGGTGAAACTTTAGCTATGAATTTTAGTTTCAACTGATGATTTTTTTAGTATTTTTGTTTCATTATTTGTTGTTTTCTTGTTTTTATCTCTATTTTCTTGTGTTTATAGTAGATTAGTTTTAATGATATTTAATTAAAATATTTGAGAGTGAAAAAGATAAAGATAAATTCTTAATTATGCGATTTAAAAAAAGAATTGCCAAATTCCAATGGTGACAAGTTGGATTTACTTATATTATATAGTTTCAATTTAATTAATTGTTTAAAATGGGATTTGATAGGTGTCAAAGTAAGCATCAAATATTCTTCCAGACATGCCTTCCAACAAACTTGTAAATATAATACATGATGACATTTTTCTAATGGAAAAAATTATTCTTAATTTTATACAGCAAGTAATGTAATATTAAATATTTTCATAAATGGAATGACACATCAAATACATAATCTTGTTCTGAATGATAAAAATCTCAAAAACGACTTCCAAATTTGTGATTTCCACCAAATATAATTTACGTTCTAGAATTGGCTACAATGCCTTTATTTTGCTACAAAATTTTGAATTAAAAAAAAATTGTTACATTATTTATTATCAAGTATAACGAATCATTCTGATTTTGAACAACTTCTACTTTAAAAAAATAAATTCAAATTTATTTTATTGCAACATGTGGGGATAGAGGATCAATCTCACAACCTATTGATTGGAGGTATATGTCAATTAAAGTTATGCTCGTTTTGACAAAACAAATTCAACTTTAATGTATTATATTTATTTACCAACATTTTATTGCTATAAAAGAAAATTGAAATATAAATTTTAGGTGATGATTTGAACTATTTTTTTTTGGTTAAAAATAGCTATATTTAAGTTGATAATTGATAATTTGAATTTAAAATTAGCCATATATGTAAGAAATACAACCATCATAAGTTTATTTTTAAAATAAATTTAAAATTATCTTAAAAATTCATGATAAAATTTAAAACCTATTTTTGTTAATTATTTAAAACAAAATAAGTTTATATTTATTTTGGGAAACCAATAATTGATTGCTTCTTATATTTAAATGAAATAGAAACCAACGATCGTGAATCTTAACTTTCATTGTCAATTGCTTCTTGCATATAAACTTATTTTGTTTAAAATAAAAACTAATAAAAACAGGGTTTAAATTTGATCCTGAATTTTTAAAAGGTATATTTTATTTCTTAATTTTTTAAGAGCACATTTTTTATTCTTGAAATTTGAGTAGGTTCCTATCGATCTCTAGGGTTTCAAATAGGATACTTAATATAAAATATGAAAATTTGTTCAAAATGCTCACTGAGCTACTTTGATTGTTGGCCAACTAACATTAAAAAAACGTGGTTGTTAAATTTCTCGTTTTAATTGCTGATTTGGAAAATTTTTATTATTTTAATAATATGATCTAGTAATTTCTTCCCCTAAGGGGGACGATAATGACTCGAGAAGAAGGGAAGAGAGAGATAAAAATGGAGAAATTACTAGATATTATTAAAATAAAATTTTGCCAAATCGATAATTAAAATGAGCAATTTAACAATCACGTCATTTTAATGTCATTTAAAAAATTGTCGGAGGAGTTCAAGGGTCATTTAGAACCGTTTCTCAAATCTTAGGGACTAAAAGTATCCATTTCGACATATTAGGACTAAATAGATAAATACTTAAAACCTCGTGGACAAAGAGGGCATTTTGCCCAAAGAAAAATTATTTTGGTCCTAAAAATTTCAATAATTTATTTTAGTTTTGAAGTCTGAAAGAAATAATTATAACCTTTGCTACTGTTTTGTCATCGAATATTAGTTTGTCCAATATCCATTTCAATATATATCTACATCATCATATTACTATAGATACTCAAAGTCATTCTAGGACCAAAATACTTATTATTTTTAAAATTCAAAATTGAAAATATAAATTTTGAAAACTTAAAAGACAAAATAAAAGATTACAAATATGACAGCACCAACGCACAAACATTAGCTTTGAGAAAACAAATATGTGATTAGTACCTATTATTCTCTTGATATTCTAAATTTATTGAATTAAAAAAAAAAAAAAAAGCTTTGAAACTTGTTTTTTGTTTGAGTTTTGTGTTGGTACTTGGTATGACAGGGTGAAAAATGGAACCTCTTATTAAATTAAAGCCATTTAACTCGTGCGTAAATGTTTGACTATTTCATTTATTTTTTTATTTATTTACATTTAGAATGAAATTATGAAACACATGGATTCCGTTGGCCGGTTGGGTTTGAATAGAAATGAAGCCGTGTAGAATGGTTTGAATACTTCAACTTTTATTTTATCCTTACCCCAAAATAAATACAATTTATAAAAATAAGCATAGTTTAGTGCTAATTCAATCTCATATTTAAACTTTTCTTCAAGTATTATATGAATGTGTAAATTTGAGTTTGCAAAATGTTGCCAATTCATCTCGTTTCATAGCTCAATTCAACTTATCAACGGATGGGGTTGAATTGAAGCTTGAGAGAGACATTTTGACATAAAATTAATTAAGAAAAGCAATCATTTTGATAGGGTTTAGTGGGGTTTGACGAACATGAGTGCCCTCCAAAAAAATAAGACATAAAAGTGAAGAAATTAAGTTTAATTGGGTCCCACCGCGTCCCCAATCATCAATAATTTTAAAATAATAATAATATAATTGGTTGGCGTTTGGCAACCACAAAAATAAATAAATAAAAAAGTCGACATTTCAATTTCTTAAGCTAATAAAGAAGCCACGTCATTCTATTATTCTACCAAACACTCTATTATCTTATTGCTTCATATGATTTCCCTTTTTTTCTTTACAGATAAGTCAAATGAGTAGGAAGCTGTCAGCCTTCGTCAGTTTATAAATCTTTATACTTATTTTTCCAATTTTGATAACTTCATATTTTTCGGATTTTACGGCTTAAACTTTCTAACTTTCGGTTTTTAAAATACCTTCTAAGCTTAGATTTAAACAAACACCATTTCCCCCTCTTTAAAAGAAATCTCAAAGTTGCCGTATAAAGGAAAACCTTATTTGTTCAAATCTTCAATCTTAGTTTCTAGAATTCATACCATTTTTATTTAGACTGTGGAATTAATAAAGGGTTTTATATACTTCTTTATTATATTAATAATTTGCTTTTTACCAAAGTTTAAAGTCGAGAAGAGAGAAAATTTTAAAGATTTTATACATGAATTCTTCTATGTGTTGATTACTAGAGTGGCTTGTAGAAAATGGATTATTGGACTTATAAATTGAGTTCAGGGAAAGGTAGGAAACGAGTTGAATCTCTTTCTATTTGCTTTTTTTTTTAATAATAAAAAACTTTATTCCTTCTAACATAATAAAATAACTATACAGACAGCAACTGGAATTACATTCTTATAGAACAGATTCATGTGAAACCAGCACAGCACAGGCTCCCTTCCTTTCCAGGGGAGGAGAGAGTCACAGTTCCATTATTTAATACATTACCATAATTTCTTCCACAAATTTGGAATCCAGCAATTAGCATATCCCACATTTGTTCAGTTCCAAATCTTCAACAGTTCAGGCTCACACTCTTTTGCTCTATTAATGCTGCTGAAGCAACCACAAAAAACGAACCAGAACAACAAACAAACAAACAAAATAAGAAAATGGAGACCTGTAAAGTTCTAGTGGCGGCCTTGCTGTTGTTGGGGTTCATTTTTCCTGTTATCTCTGGTTGGGGCGTCGACGGCCATGCTGCCGTCTGCAAAATCGCTCAGGTTCTTCTCTTTATATGTCTTTGAAACCCCATTTTCCAAATTTGCATCTTTGATGAAGGAACTTCTTTGGTCTTTGTTTTGTTGGAACAGTCACGGTTGAGCAGAGCAGCAGCAGATGCAGTGCAGCAACTGTTGCCAGACTCCGCTAGCGGCGATTTGGCTAGCGTTTGCAGTTGGGCTGACAGAGTCAAGTTTTATTATCACTGGTCCTCTGCTCTTCATTTCATTGATACTCCAGATTCCCTCTGTTCTTACCAGTATGACAGTTGAGTAACTTCCTTTGTTTCCATTCCTCTCTAGTCTGATTTCTTCTCTCCTTGTTCTAAATTTTTGTCATTTCAATCTTTCAAGGGGACTGCAAAGACCAAGCAGGAGTGATAGGACGGTGTGTTGCAGGCGCCATTAACAACTATACTTCCCAGCTTCTGAAGTACCAAGCTCAACCATCTCAGTCTAAATGTAATTTTCAAGAATACAAAAATCTTATCGACTTCTCTTCATCAATTTACCAATAAATCTGCTAATACGCTAAAACTTCCCATCGCCAGATAACTTGACTCAAGCACTTCTTTTTCTTTCACATTTCATGGGAGACATCCATCAGGTACGATATGAAGCTTACATGGACATATGCAATTATTTACTGAGATGATTTTACCTCAAATGCAGCCTCTGCATGTGGGATTTACGACAGACAGGGGAGGAAACACGATCGATGTTCACTGGTACACCAGGAAGCAAAATCTTCACCATGTAATTATAATAACCCAACTTCAACAGAGTGCCCTTGACATTTCTAGTCTTTAATCCATGAAAATACAGAGTTGGTTGTGATTTTTGCAGATCTGGGATGACAGCATTATCGAGACTGCAGAAGAAAAGTTTTACAACTTCAGTGTGGATGGCCTGGTTGATGCAATCCAAATGAATATCACGGTCATATACTTTTAAGTCAAAACTCAACTTGAAAAACAAGCTCGATCCTAATCGTTTTAGAGATTCTAATGCTTTTTTTTCCTCTCTCTTTTGCTGTTTCTGATCAACAGAAGGGATGGAGAAATCACGTTGAAGAGTGGGAGAAGTGTAGTTCTAATGAGGTAGCATGCACAGAAATGTATGTGCCACAAGAAACAGTCCATTGATCCTTCATTTTTTAGAGCATATAATTTCAATAATATGCCTCAACTTTCGCTCGAATGTGCAGATATGCATCAGAAAGTATCCAAGCAGCCTGTGACTGGGCATACAAAGGTGCAAGTGAAGGTTCTATACTAGAAGGTAGACTGCTTACGAAGCTTGATTGAGCTGTTCATTGGGCAGAAGAGATTTTAACTTAAAAACTTGCTTGCAGATAAATATTTCTTCTCCCGAGCGCCGATAGTGAACCTGCGTCTGGCACAAGGTGGAGTTAGATTAGCGGCTGTTTTAAATCGCATCTTTAGTTGACAGACTCTCCTTTAGTTTATACTCAGAGGAAAAGCCTGCATGAAATAGTTATGTTTCAAGTTAGTAGTTGGGAAAAAGTCGACCGTATTATGCTACGTGAGCTTGTAAAACAATCAGCACTACTACGTGAATAAAGTTCTTCCTGAAATATCATTCTCTTTGTTTGATTTAACTCTTTTTAATCTCTTTATCCAGTCCATGCCTCATTGAGCTACATGAATTGGATCCCCTCCCCATCCAAGAATTGGAGTTGAATAGCACATTAAATTTCTGTCATATTATACAAATGTAAAGAGATAATGGAGCTATATTGGGAAACAGTTTTCCCTCTTTTAAGAATAGAAATTCAATAAAAACATGTTTAGTTAACTATCTTTTAAGAATTGTTTTGGCAGATGACCCATTTTCCAGAGCACCAAAGTAGTCCTTTTGTCCTGAATTTGTAAATGATGATATCAAGTACACAACAATCTTATCTTTTACAAGCCATTGGATCATCAGATCACAATTCGTAAAAATTAGCTTGGAAACGGAAGTAGAAAGCTATTTTTAAGAAAAGACTCCCAAGCAGCTCCAAAGTCATTCAAACCTGATTATCATTTAAAAAAATAAAAAAATAATAATAATAAAAACTGAGGCAGAGCTCTATAATTTAGTGGACAAAGCAGCAGACCTTTAATTACTATGGTTTCTTCACAACAAGGACAGGACACTTGGCATTTTGAACACAGTAGTTGCTCACACTCCCTATAAGAGCTCTGTATGAGACATATATTGATACAGTCAGCATCCGGTACATAAACCCATTATAGTCAAAAAGGGGCAAAATCGATAAAAAGAAGAAAAAAAGTTGCACAGGTACTATTAGGTGATGATACCGAAAGCTAAAAATCTCAAAATTCTAACGAATTGAAAGTCAGGCAGCAACAAACTGGGTTGTAGGATATCTCAGTAAGAAATTAAAAGCTGAAAAATGTACAATTATTTCATATAAGTTGATAGACATTCTGCAACTAATAAGAAGCAAGGACATAAGCTAGAAAACTCTTCAGTTTCATCATTTGAAAATGATAGATATTTACTCATTAGAATGAGTATAATCTACTAGTAGCTAYGAACTTACTTATGCATGTGTTTTGGCAACAACGAACGTCAGAAAAAATTTGAGATGTCGAAGCTAAACGCTTCTGGAAGGCAAATGTTGATTAATAAAGTCTAACCTCTGAGCACAACTGGTTGTATAAATAAGAAAATGAAGACCAACCTCTTAATTCTCCCAAGGCCACGATCACCTAAGACAAGCATATTTATATTGAGCTTTTCAACTGCATCACATATGGTTGTTCCAGGATTCCCAACCTCTGTGATTGATATAGCAGCCACCTGCAGACGATAAACAATTTTGCATTCCTAATTTTACGTAGCATCAAATTTATGCAATCAAGAAATAAACATTAAAAAAAAAGTTCTTCAAATATGAGTATACGTATGTTCTCGATCCAAATTGTTCAAATTTGGAGGTCAGAGTTGTCCTGTTGAATCAAAATACAGAACACCGTGAAAACTTGACATGAAAGTAAGAATCCAATCATACCCCTCTTTCAGCACATATATCCTTTGCTTTCTCAAGGAGGGCGCATCTGACTTTCTTGTCATTCTCTTGGATCGAATTAGCCAACTCCGTATCTGTCGTGCACAATAAAATTGACCTGATCAGAACATCTCAACGTCTTAATCGATGCTTTTTTATTTTTAAATCCATCAGCAAGTACAGACAAACTAATTCAAACTATAATAAAATTCCATAAGACCTAAAAGGCCCGGATTAGTTCAGTTCATCACTTGACAGCCCACGGATCATCGTTATGTTCTCTCTATACATCAAATATTAGCGAAGTTACATGTATGTAAAGTAAAATTAGAAATGCTTAACTGGATGTAACGTGACAATACGTGCGCGCAAGGCCAAGCGATGCAGCAGCACCAGCGCCGAAGGTGTAAATCGTGGGCGGAGGAAGAGCCGTGAAGACGAAAAGGGGGGACTCGGCTAGGGATTGTTGAAGATTTTCGAGCACCCAGATGAGGGCATAGTAGCTACACTCGCTCTCGTCTATGGCCACCATCACCCTCTTCTCGACTGCTTCAGCCATTCTGGAAGGGGGAATTAGAGGAGGAACTGTGAAAGGAAGCCCAGAAAGTGAATTACGCCATTAGAATTGGGCGAGAAGGAATTTAAGCTCCAGCGCGTACTACAGTGTAAATTGATGGTGGGTTCTCTCAAATTACATTACACTCCTGTCTTTCAAYTATCTTTCCACTCTCGATAATTTACACATTTTTTTATGCTCTTAAAATCGAAATATTCAATTCAGTTTAATTTTTTTAGTTGTTACCTTTTTTTTTTATCTGCATAGAATCCAAGCGATAGGGAGAGGAGAAAAAATCGTTAGCCTCAAACAACTTCTCTTATATTCCGGGATTTTAAAAACAACCCTACCYTGGCCCTTACAAACTCGTTTCCGTTTCTTTGTTCTCGTTTCTAAATTTTATTTAAAAATTTAAATATTTTGTAAYTAAATGAGTTTAATTGACATATATCTCAAACYAAAAGGTYGTGARTTTGATCATCACCCTACATAAATATAAAATTATTCTTGATTCTTGRATTTATAGASAGTAGAACTRTACCATTCTAAAYRTTACCAAAATAGCTCTACTTTTTAAATCCTCTTCTTCCCTCTYCCTCTCCCTCAAAATCTGTATCAAAGTTTGAATAACACTCTCTCTTCTCTCCCTCTCTCTCTCTCATAATCTATCAGATCATGATCTCTTTCCCTTTCTGTCTCTAAAAATCTGAGATCAAATTTCAAACTGTTGAAAGCTACCAGATCAAATGAACAGAAATCCAAGACAATTTCTAAAAATCTATGGGTTCTATCTCAAAAGTTATCGCTATCGCTTGCGCCAATAAGTGCGCGCGCTAGGATGCTATTCTATTTCTATGTTAAAAGATCCTATTCTGTTTCTAACGCTTGGATCCTATTCTCCTTCAAATCTGGAAGATCGTTAAACTCGAAAGGCATTGGATTTGACGATAATCTCCATTTTGATGCTTGTTTTAATTCCGTTGCATATTTGAAAATGAAGAAGAAGAAGGGGCAGTGTGGAGAGAAAGTTCCAACATCGAGATATTTCGATAGGCTTGCGACAGGGCTGAAGTGACGATGAGGTCTACGTTTCGCATTCTTTCGGAAGTGAGAAAATATTTATAATTTTGGACATAAAATAAGATACTCACATACTTATTCATTAATGTATTRTAGCAACCGAGAGAGCAAAATAGTAAGTAATGTAGCTACTTTTAGTTTATTCAAACTTAAATCTTATCCTAGAGACTAAAAGAGTCGTGGAATAAAGAACGAAAATGATATTAATGAGAGTGTAGAAAAATGATGAGATTACCTCTCTTTTTTGAGGGGAGTAATTCTAAAGTTTCATATAGATTCAACCCATTGATTTCGTTCCTCCAATTTTGTAAACACCATATGTGGAATGAATTCTTTCTCATTYGAGTTTAATTTTTAATTATATAAATAAAGATTTACTTACTAAACTTGAGGCAAGGAATTAGAAAATATGTATATCATATTTTGAATTAATGTCACTAAATCAACCTAATCCAAATATTTCATAATTTATTATTTAATAAAGATTGTTTTGGTAGCTGCCATCCCAAAGTKGATCACTTGGACTCATGATCAGGAACAAATTCAGCGAATTTGGACACAAATTCTTGTGGGATGCGTACTGGGACGGTAATTTTTATCAAGTCAAACCGGCGTACACTTTGACTCCAGGATTGGCTAAATTAATAATTAAGACAAAAAAAGAATAATCGAGACAAAATTAAGATGAAAACAAATGGTTTGATTACTGACCTTCGTATCTGGAAGCTTGAAAATGAAGTGATCCATGTGGATGCGAGCAGCTGACATGGCCGAGATCCTGACTTTAACCACAAATCTGTCTCCACTCTTCTCGTTGGAGAAGAAATTAATTAAAGAGAGGCATTTAAGTAAATTGTGGAATGCAAAATTGCAAATATAGCAACAAAACAAAGGCTAGTTTCCCAATTTGAATTTGCGTAGTTCAAGGTTAAGTTTGAAATAGCTAATGCGCCCCCAGTGCGAGCAATTGCATCAGGACTAACCCCTATACTTTCCATCAGTTTATATTCTCAATTCATTCAATTAACACTAAATTAAATTAAAGGGGAAAAATTAATTATGTTTAATCTCACCATGTTGACAATAACTAGCATTGTTCACAACACTGAACTGGTCCAGCTCAACATCAACGAACCCATCCATCCTGTAATTATGAAGACTAAGATGTTTAGTTTTTTATATGTTATGAATAAGGGTATTACTTTTAACGATTGCAATTCTCATGTCCGGGACACACAAACGTCTGCAGAAATCAAAGTAATTAAGGGCCCATTTGGTAACCTCTTGTTTCCGTTTCCTGTTCCTGTTTCTAATTGTTTTTGCTTTGGATTGATTCTAAATGTATGCGTGAATTTTTTGAAGCTCCTGTTTTTATTATATATGCTTATGCCTCTCATGTTTCTGTTTTTCTATAAACTCAAAGCCATGACAACTTAAAATATAAACTCCTTATTCTCTAAGGATTATTGGGAGTAGGCCATGAACCCGAACTTGAACCTTAAATCGAAGTTTTAAAGACTTTTTTTTTTCTTTTTTTTTCATGCATGGATATTAGTTAAATGTAAATATGGCATTGAGGTTACATGATTGAGATTACTTAAATGTTGTTTTTTGCCATAATTCTCTCTAGGTTTAGTTAAATCTAATTTATAATTAGGTAATTAATTACAAGATATCTAGAACTCTTCACGAGATTGTTTTTTTAGACAATCTTGTAATGAATTGAAATTGGATATAAACTTTGAATGATCGAAAATGTAATGAATACTCTAATGGAGTAAGTATTTTTTTATTGAAGTTGCTAAGAATTATTTAGATGAAAAAGAAAAAACAARATGTATAATTTGTTCAAACAGTTTAAATATTCATAACTATTTCCTATTTCTTATTTTTGGTTTCGATTTTTATTTTTCATTTAGTATTGTGGAGGCATGAATTTGAACTCATAACCTCTTGGACTATACGKGTTGACTTTGATTTTTATTTTTAATTAAAATAAAATTTAGTAGATATAATATAAAAAGATATAACATATACCCAAAGAATATAACTCACAAAACAAAACATAATTTACCATATAAATTTCTTTAATATAAAAGTCTAAATTATTGCTTTAAATACGAAATATTTATAATTTAAAAAATAGAAATATTTTATAAAAAATATAAGATATAAAAACAAAAAATATAAAAGATATAAAAACAATAAARTATAAAATATATAAAAATGCATAAAATATAAAAAAAAATAAGAAAATATAAGAAAACAAAAATATAAAATATAAAAAACTCACTAAAGAAGACATAAATTACCATATAAATTTCAAAGTCTGAATTATTAGCTTTAAATACAAAATATTTTTAATTTAAAAAATAGAAAATAGAATAAAATATATATAATATATAATATAAAAACAATAAATATAAAATAGATAGAAACAAAAATGTAGAAAATGTAAATAACAAAAAATAATATAACATATGAAAAACAACAATATAAATATAAAAAATAATAAGAAAATATAAGAAAACAAAAATATAAAATATAAGAAAACAAAAAACAAGAAAATAGAAAAAATTTGAAAATATAGAAACCTAATCCAAAAAATATTATTGATATTGACTTACCAGATATATTGCGACTAAGGGGGGAAGAGAGTAGTGAGGGTCCGAGATCGAGGGGGTGAGAATCATGATATAAGGGGGAGTTCGAAAATCTCTTTTTGAAAAGTGAGGGTACTTTCGTAATTTCGAGCATTAAACTAGTTTTTTTTCAAGGAGTGTCAACTACTCACYATTCCAACTTAAATATTTAAGGTCCGTACTTAAATATTTAAGATCCATTTGATAACGCTCTTGTTTCTTGTTTTTCATTTACTATTTTTTTTAGAATTAGGGAAAATGAGGGAATATGTTTTGTAACTATTTCTCTTCCTTGTTTCTCGAAAAAAAAATGGAAATAAAAATATGTTTGATAACTTTTTTTTTTTGTTTCTATTTCTAGTTTTTTAGTACAACTCGTGGGATTCGAGATGTGAACCTAGGACTTCTTAACCATTAATATATATCTTAACTAATGTTGGCATTCTTTTTATTTTTAGTTAAAATAAAATTTAGTAAATATAATATAAAAATATACCACATATACTCAAGAACATAATTCATGAGAGAAAACATAATTTAAAATATAAATTTCTTCTTATAAAAGTATAAATTATTAGCTTTAAATAAAGATTTAAATTTCAAAATATTTTAAAATAGAAAATTTTTGTTTAAGAAAATATAATAATAAAAAGAATAAATTTTCAAAATATTTTAAATTAAAAAAATATAAAACATAAAAAAAAAAGGGAAAAATATTATTCCAATGGGGCTTGAAGGGAATGAAGACAAGAAATAAGGAAGATTAGGCATGCGAGACTGCCAACGGTCCACAGTTTTAACATGTACAATTAAGCACTTGATTTATAATTTATCTACAGGACCTGGAAACCGAAACACAAATCAGAAACAACAAAAAAATACTAAACTACATCCTTTTTTGAAAACGTTTGTTACCAAACAAATGAGGAACAAGAACAAGAAACAGGGAATGGAAACGTTACCAAGCGAGATCTTAATAASCTTACTATGAGAATAAGGTATCAAATTGTCATCAAATCATAATCTGCTGAAAAACCTATCTAAATTATATATATATGTACCACACTATTTTAGTACCTGTGGTCTTGAGTATATGAGAAAGCAAGAATTCATCGCTATGCATTTGGATATGTATGTGAATCAGATATTTGCTCCATCGCCTTCTTTCTAATACAGGGCCAAAGGCAAGTACCACTTTTGCCATCCCAAAGCTGATCACTTCGACTCATGATTCCGAGCAAACTCAGCAAATTTTGACAGAAATTCTTGAGGGATACGCACTGGACGGTAATTTTTGTTAAGCCAAACTGCCGTACCCTTTGCCTCCAGGATTGGCTACAGAACGAAATTAAGACAAAAAAACTGCATAAAAGAGCTACCAAGAATGTGTACAAAGTAAACTGAGATGAAAATGAATGGTTTCATTACCGACCTCCATATCTGGAAGCTTGAAAATGAAGTGATCAATGTAGAAGCGAGCAGCTGACATGCTCGAGATCCTCACTTTAACGACGAATCTGTCTCCACTCTACTCGAACGATACATCAATTCAACAGGTGGAGAAGAAAGAAAGCCATTGAGTAAATTGTAGAATGCAAAATTTATAGAGCAAATGGTTTATGGACATAGCAACAGAGGCATCCCATACTCTAAGTGGTGCAAGGAACTTCAAAGATAACTCTGATAGAGCTAATGCATCCCCTGTGCGAGCAACTGCATCAGGGCTAAGGCCTATACTTTCCAGCAGCTCATGACGACCTGCTTAAGTTCTCAATTCAATATCTTGAATAGCTTTTGACTGAGTTATAATGCTTCAGTCACTTTCAGAGAACCATAAGATTTATGAAATTTCAACAGTTTTACAGCTTTCAGACTAATGGCCCCCAACAAAGTTTAGGCTCAGCTCACTATCATAGAAAAATGAAAGTTTACCCAACAACTGGAGTTTCTTTTTTCCTTTTGGATACATCAACAAATGGGGTTGCCAAGAGAATAATCAGCGATGACATGGATGTTCTTGGAATTGAAATTCTGGTGCCAGTGGACATAAACACCAACGTTTGAAATGGTGAAGAGTAAATTAAATTAAAGGGGAAAAAGTGGATGTTTGAGCTCACCATGTTGACAATAACTTGCATAAACAGCATTGTTCACAACGCCAAATTGGTCCAGTTCATAATCACGAACTTTGAGCTCAACATCTAGGAACCCATCCATCCTGTAGTTATGAAGAGTAAGATGCTTAGTTTTTCTATATGTTCTCAATAAGGGCATTACTTCAATTGCAATTCTGATGCCTGGGACATAAACATTTGCAGAAACCAAAGCAATTAAAATTCTGCACTCCACCCGAATTCCAAAGAAAAGTAAATAAATTAAAAGGAATATCAGTACAAAAGTCGGTTGGTTCACCAAAAATCGTTTGCAGAATTTTTGCTCGAGACTCGACAGAGGTCAAAGATCTTGACATAGAGCGCTAAAGAAGAAGACATTAACAATATTTTGAGAAGTTAAAAGTACCTTTTTGTGGCGTTGAGATCAAATGCTTGAGAGTTAGAGCTTCTAGTTATCGGGGGTGATCGAAGGCGAAACGAAGTCGACGGCCGGCGGATGGGCCAGGAAAATGATGAAGGTATTGGGAGTATCGTAGACTTGGTACGTGAAATCGGAGCCGGCGGTTGGATCGGATAAATGGAAGCCTGTAACATTCTGCAATTTCTACTCCGTCGTCGACGGATGGGTTTTGAGAATGGGAATCGGACAACGCAAGGAGGAGGCTGGGGTTTATACCAGTTTTACAGCTTTTTAATAATAAAACTAAATTGCGTTTCGTTTTCAAAAAGTCAGGATGGCCGAGTGGTCTAAGGCGCCAGACTCAAGTTCTGGTCTTCGTGAGAGGGCGTGGGTTCAAATCCCACTTCTGACAAAATTTTTCAGTTTTGTATAAAATTCATTGTACTTCCGTTTCTTTTCTTCTTTTTAGTTTGAAGAGAATTTTTCCCCTTTAATTTCCCGGGGTAGGTAGCTGTGGGCTTTTCCTGACATGTTCCTAAACCAATTTCTACCCATCTTAAAATTTCATAAACAAAAAATGATAATTTTAAATTTACTCGATCATTTCAACCAAATTGATCAATTTGCAACCTTAATTTTAAAGAGTCAGAAAAGTATTAAAGTACCTCTATTTAGTAAGATTTGTGTTTAATTCATTCATTTTTAACAAAGAAAAAGCATTCTAGTTTGTTCAATATAATCAAAGACCTAATTATAGTTCCATTGATTAGACATATATCAAAAGATTGAAATTTTAAATCCAATCCGAGACGTGTTTATTAAAAAGAAAAAAACTTTTCGAAATAAAAATTTGAAAATGATAAATAACATTCGTAATTTGCAATTTAAGAGGAAAAAGTAGTGTGTTGTTATGTTCATCAAATTTAGCATTGTTATGAGATTCCACTTGTACAAAGTTTCTGAGAAATTGGGGGTCTGGTGTATGGGCAGAAGAAGAAAATATAAAACTTTTAAAATAAAATTCGGTATAATGCTATAGATAGATTCTGTCCAGATGTAAACTTGTATCGAACAAGCGCGAGGCCAAGACGCCACGATGAAGCATTCGGCACCAACTGGCACCTATCCGCCAAATTCACCCACGATGTGAATCCATGGCTCGTCCAAAATAACCTCTTCTCCAGCCCATCCTGGACCACCGCCTCCCCTCGCATCAATTTTTTCACTAATTTGTTAACCAATATCCATCCAGAGATCGATCACAGATGAAAGCAAAACAATTGTGCTTCTTCCTTCCCACTAATCGTTATTCTTTATTCAGGACAACAAGAATGAAATGTAATTATAATTAATACACAAGAATTAGCGTTTTCAGAGCAATGGAATGGAACATACAACACAAATCTACTGAAAATCAATGTGGTGTAATAAATTCTCGATTCCAGAAGATGGAGCTCGGTCCGTCTGTCGGTCCTATGTCATCCATGGATTAGCAGCGTCTCAGGTTGCCGGTCGTCTAACTTCTAAGGAGGCTGCCGGTTCGGTTTCCGGTACTAACTCTGCAAATTAAAATAACCACCCAATGTGATTAGACGAAGATCCCGATCATACCAATTACCAATTATGATTGAAAATTGGAATTGACTTCTGGTTTCAGATGGGGAAACGAGAAAGAAATCCTCTGTAGGAATGAGGCGAATCAAGAGGGTAATTCCGAATATGATAAATGGAAGATTGATTAGATTAGATTTGTTATTCGGAGAAAAAACAGGGCGCCCGGCGAAATTACCTTTGAGTTTTTTGGGTTTTCCGGCACGTCGTAGAGATCGGCGGTGATCTCCGTCAACAAGAGTCCGGGGAAGAGCGTCTGCAATGGGGGAAGGGACGCAGATTTGAAAACCCAATTTGAAAAGAAGGGAAAAATAGGTCAGCGAAGAGAGAAGAAAACCTACATCCATTTGATTCTGTACAATTCTGGGCCTCTTCTTGGGCCTCCGCGGCGGCCTGCGT